CTGCTTCATAAAGAAGCTAAAATAATTTTTGACAAATCTGGTGTACTTGGAATCTCTTTAGAACATCATACGTGATCCGCATAACCTATTTTAGATTTATCTGGTTTATCTTTAATGCTTTCCGTGGGCATTTCAGAAAAATCAGCTAGCCGTTAATGCTGGTTAAATACAAAATGATATAGGATTGATTAAAAGGGTCAGGCTACCAGCCTACCAAAGCGTTTGAATCTGGAGGTAGCCACCATAAAATTAAAACGGGGATCAATGGCGTGTCATATCCCTACTGCTCTGCAAGCTGAACATGTAATTCTAAACTTCATGCTGCAGCCATCTCTCACGTCAGGCCTTCGAGCATTAGGCTCAATAACCCAGCCGCCCAGGGCTACTGTTGCTAACTATGATACTGTGTTCATAAACAGCAGTGGACCACGTTTAGTTTAGTATCTGTTTCCTGTGCAGAAGTTTAACTATTGCATAGTGTGTTTGGGTTTTGATGGCTTTCATCAACTAGAAATGTTAATACTTATTGTTAGCAAACGAATACACGGGGAAAAATCCTGGGAAACCTGTGCAAATGGTGTGCTACAAATCTATATATAGATATATAGATATATTATAGCCTGGTTTGTAATGAACAATGTCTTAGATAAAGAAAGAACATATATATTTATATATATAGTCATGTTCTTTCTTTATCTAAGACAATGTTTATTTTGAGCCAGACTACAATCCACCTACTATAATCCACTTCATTTTCAGTGCAGTGTTTTGTAAAAATTTGTCCATAATAAGGAATTATAGTGGAGCCTCTGAATCCTGAGAAAGCAAATGAAATTGTGGTCACGGCCATTAAGCCACCTATTTAAATTTTAAACGCTTTAAAGGAAAAATCTCGGCATCATTTTTAGTTTATTTCCAATTAACTGTTCGGTTAAGTAATGTTGGTAGTAAGTAATGATCTAATCACAACAGAGAGAAAAAAAATCAACCTATTGATCCCTCATATAATGGTTTAAAAGCACTTACTAAGTCTAAAATCTTAAAAGAGTAATGACCCCAAATAAATAATTAAAATGCCCTCAGAGAATGGTTGGGTTTTCAATATTGAATAACATTATTAAGAGTCTGATAGAAGGGATGACCTTTGGAGGCCATTATTAACTTGTTCTAATAGGCTGTATTTGGCAGCATTGCCTCTATGAATAGCTGTGATGTTGGTATGACAGACGATCGATTTAATGTCACATTTGTTTGGAGATGGCGCTGCGTTGCTGTCTATCTAATGTGTCTATGTTACTGATTTCTACCTGCAGCCAGCTCTGGTTTAACCCTCAGCTTGTAATAGCTTAGTGTGAGAAACCTAGTGCATGCTTGCCTACCCCCCAAACAGCTGTGCTTTTCATGTGATGAATTTAGGGTTTTTTTTTCCGAAATATTTCATTCCATATTGCTACAGGTCACTGTTGTCATGAACACGTGATAAATGTGCCAGGATGTACAGTAAACTTTTTTCCCCTTTGGTTAAATACTTAAAAAAGTCTACTCTGGTTTTTTTGAAAAAAAATGTACAAAAGACTAATGGAAAATATTTTCCCTCAAAGAATATGTTGACAATAATTTGGGGATCACAAGAAAAGGTCATCTTAGAAACACTTGTTTGTCTTTCTTTTAATTGTTCCACCTTTTTGTTGTGACAGTATTTCTATAATCTTTCCTCCTAAACTGGCTGAACAGAGCTGGTGCATGTAGTTCTCTTTATACATGCACAGCTAAATACACACCTTCTGACTTTCTTTGCAATCCTTCTTTTAGCACCTGTAAGTTGGACACGATAAAGGTCATGAATCGACACTCTTTGCCTCTCTCTCCTTTCCGGAGACTGCACGTCTACATTTATTATTGTCTCTCTTGCCTTACTGTCTTGGGATTTATACTCTATGAATTCGACTCAGCATATTTCAGTTGAATAAGCAGATGAAGTACAAGACTTATATACTGTGTCATAGCTTTTCCCAGACACTCCCTAATCAGACTAGTGGTCTACAAAGACAGATTTTCGTTCCTGCACTGGTGTGTTGGAATGAGATGCCACTCACCATTAGTGGAAGCTGTTATTGGATGCCAGGCTTTAAATGTAAATACGAATCAGTCATCAGCTTATTGTTTCACAATAACACCAGGCAGTTTGCTTCTTACTGCTTGTGCATTTCCATTATGTGCTGTATGAATTGAAATAAAACTTTACATTTATAGCTGTGACATGAGCGAATGATTTGCTTGTGCTCAATTTTGCTATTACAGGAATGCTGCATTCACTTTCACTTCCCTTTCTTCACTGATTCTTTTTGCCTCACATCTTGTGTCATCAGACATAACTTAAAAATACTTGCCTCGTTGACTATAGGTCATGAGAGCCAATGAGGCTGAACATAAAGGCCTAAAACAAAGACCTAGTGTAATGAGACGCACCATAAATGGAGAACAGAACCAAATGAATTGTATCCCAAAAAGTCACTTTTTTTTCCCCATCACGAAACAAAGTTTCAGAGGAAGCATTAATGTTTATTTGTCAGTGCACCTGGTGATTTTCCGCAGTCCTATATAACTTAATGATGGCACGTCTGTGTATAGTTTCAGTGGAGCAGAGCAAAGTGGGTGTGTGGTCTCTGTATGCATGTGTGTGTGTGTCACAAGCTGACTGGTGGATTAGCTGTCCGATGGCAGAAGGAGAGGGATCTGCTTTGACAGTGTGGTAGTTAGCCCATCTGTCTATAATCTGCTGTGTCAGTGTGTGCGTGCTGCTGCTTTGGTACTACCTGCCACCAGGTGGTCAGCAGTACCCCAACGCCCTGAAATAAAGCTGCGAGGGAGGTGGAGCCTATTGGTCGGGACACGTTCCCAACAAACTTGATCAGCTGTTGCTCGTATGCTGCACTACATTCTAATACTTAAAATCACAGAGATGATTGGTCACATTTATTGAGTTAAGAATAAACTGTTATATAGTCATTATTATTATTGAGAAGACTAACAGACTTTTAGCTCTTTTTTTAGCTTTTACACTGGCAGCCAATAATTTGTGCATAAGGGTTTCCAATTAATGTGTGCAGATATGAATTAGAATAGAAACATGAGCCCTATATTTAGAAAGCCTGTCTTATAATCAGCTACTACCCACCCAGCTTAAAGACAGCTGTGAGAATTGGAATATGGAACATATTTCCCAGTGGATTAATTATATTTCACTGATCATATGGATGTATTTTATTCTTATTAATTTTGCTGTGAATAGTATATTGTGTGTCAAATATGGATTGCTTGAACACCCTGTGGTCTTTCTGTTTCTCATACCTATGGCAGTAAATGTCTGAGAGTAATTCTACTTGAGCATTAAGTTGGTTTGGCTGCAGAAAAATATGGAGCGTAGTCCGACCTGCTGCTTTGTCAGGCAGAGTGCATTCCAGTGATATTTACTTTTATTCAGCAGGAGAGAGAGAGAACTTTCATAAGAAACATTCAGAATTAAACTTAACCAGATGAACAAGCAGTTGATTTCATAATTCATCTGTACTCTAACATTAACTCATAGTTACGTCATAGTATAGCTGCTGTTGGGTCTCTGATGCTGAGAGGGTTTTGTTAAGACCATAGACTACCTTGTGATTAGAGCAGGGTGATATGACCAAAGATATTTATCACGATATACATTTGAAAATTTGCGATAACGGACAATACAATTGACACTAGACAAAATACTTTACAACTCTACAACTTTGTTAGTGCAAAAAAACCCATCAACGTATTTTCACTTAAACAAGCAGCTGTTTTTTATGTGCATTAAAGTTATATAAAAACTTAACAGTGCAAATGCAAATTCCTTGCTGACAGTTTAACCGAAAGGCATTTCCAGTGGAAATGACAACCTCAATCGGTGCGGGTTCATAGCTTAGCATTTCATTTGACAGATTGCTGAGCGCCGTGTACCACATAAAATCGTTTCGAGGTCAGTAAACACAACCAGAATTCATACATAAGGCACACAGGATTATAAGGGGCACTGTCGATTTTCAGAAAAAAGGATTGATTTTAAGTGTGCCGTATTTTCCAAAAAACACGGTAATAACGACGGCCCGCTAGCATGCTCTACCAAAAAATAGTGCTTTGTTGTGTATCTGACAGACAAAAGCTAAACCAGTTCCACACCATTGAAGTTGCAGCATTTTTACAAACCAGTTCTGGTTCATCTGTTTCATTCAACAATTCGCCCTTCTCATTCTCCGTCGCCGCCATGCTTTTTAGGCCATATGCATATGAAAACAAAAGCACTGCACATGCACATTTTACCCATATTCTATCGCGATATTTCATTTTCTTATCGTTGCCCAACATTATACCGGTATTACCGTGAACGGTATGATTTTGGCCCAGCCCTACTTGTGATTGTCAATTTCAGTGCATCAGTTTTGTAAAAATTGTTGCCGAGGTGTTTATGATACAGAGCCAGCTGTTTTCTCAGCACAAGAAGAGCCTACGACACTCCTTCCTTCCACAATTGATCACTTCTTTGATCCAGATGCTGTGCATGTTTCAAGCAGCTCTACACTGAGAAAAGATTTCACTCACTCTGCTATTGTACAGTAGCAGAAAAAATAGAACGTCAATATATGATGGTCAGTGTTGCTATTGTGCGGGGCTGCCATAAATTCACTGAGGAATAGGAAACCTTGACTTGGTCACATAATATGCATATTTGGGTGGCTGTTAATAAAACAGGTTGGCCTGTGTGTCTGCATGACATTTAATGTGAACACATGTCTTTAAAAGCACGTCTTAGATTTAAAAGGAGCTGTTCTACAGCATTATCTTGTCTTGGGATTGCCTGCCTGTCTTTCTGTAAAGTTTTGTGTATATCGACTGAGAGGATTTAGCAATACTGAAGAAGCGAATCACTGATCAGTTCTACAACATGCCAATCTAAGTTGTTTTTTTCTTCCCCTCAGGGAACCTGGGTCGTGTTGACTACATCAGTGAGTTTGAATTTGATCTCTTCATCCGGCCTGACACCTGCAACCCCCGATTCAGAGTGTGGTTTAACTTCACTGTGGAGAATGTCCGAGAGACACAGGTTAGCGTGCTTTGGCCTTTTAGTGTGTTTGCTGGCTGTCTCTGTATGTACCCACGTCTTCACTTATTAATTAATTTAGAA